AAGTAGGTTGAAATGGTACCTTGCTTTGATGGTGTCCGTCATATGGCGGACGAAATATAGGGACATTCTCACTAGAATAGAAAAGATTAACTCGGGGACGGAGTCAAGAAGAAGGTTTCTGTAAAGCCAAGTAACAACTGGTCTGATAAAACCACCATCATCTTGTCATGAGACGCAACTTAGAATCTTTTCCTCAAACACTTTTACTAAAAATAGTTGCGAGTTCAACAAAGTCGCAACCTTTAATTGGACACAGACAAGCCCAACTTATTTCAAATTACACCTCAATGGCATTGTGAGAGCTATTCACATGAACGTGAGAAAAACTGTTTTATTTCTCTGTAAAAAACATTCGGTTTTTAGTAAAACTAATTTACGAATCGCTTCCAACCAACTTTTGGCTCTGAATGAAAACTCAAGTCACAATAAAATATTAGAGAATTATTTAAAACTCAACTATTTTTCATATAAGTTTGAGTAGGTCCCGTATCAAAGTGTGATCATAGCCTGAATTGCATAATTTAAGCACTCATCTTATGTATCAACCTGATCCCAGTATCCCTTCAATGGGTCGGTATTCCTTCTTTAGCTCTTAACTCGTCTCAACCGACATTTCATTCTACCTGTTCGTACGCGATCCTCAAACGGTCGTACTCTTGCGATAGCTTGGCTACATTCTGATCGGCAGCTAATCGCCGCTCTGCCAATCCAGCACCAGCGACTCGCTTAGCTTCTGATAGATCGCGTGTTAGCTTCCGGTTTTCTTGTTGAATGGCTTCCATGGTGGCTACCGAGACCGGCCCAGGGGCACATTTGAGGCGTTCGTTTTCGGCTTGAACACGTTCGAGAACGCGACGCAGTTTGGCCACCGTGCGCTCCAGCTGTAGAGGTGAACGACCACTGTCGCCTATCTGGTTGATGCGATGAAGGTAGGAAAAAAGTGATTAGGAAAAATAAAGATTAAATGCAACTGAAGTTTTGTGCACAAGAATGACATGAATAAGAGCTTTTTTGTCTTCATAGTTGCTAGGTTTCGAACATAGTCCAACTAAGTGTTGTAGAGATGTACCATTTATAAGTAGATTTTCGAGATTACCAGCGATATTCATATTTATAAATGGAAAATAAGAAATGTAGTCTATTGTAATGGCAAATATAACTTTGCTTCAGCGACAATTAAACCACAGAAATATGATATAGGAAATGTCTGACTTCGTTGAAAGTCAATTCTGTCCTATGACCTCAAGGGCTATGGA